GGAGCGGAGCGTTGCTGAGCCACTGGCTCAGCAACCGGCAGCCCCCCGACACCGACAGGGCCCCGAAACAAAGATGATGGGTGCAGCCCGAGGCTCAGCGAGCCAGTGACAAAGCTGAGATGATTCAGGAGGCCCCCAGGGTCCCAGGCGGCCCCGGATACAGCAGGGCTAGGCGCTGTTCACGCCCATGTTCTTCATCTGCTCCTCCAGCACCCGCTCTCCTCCTGTCGACTTCTTCTTGCCGCCCTCTTGCTGCTTTTTCTGCTTCTTGGAAAGCTCCTGGTCGATGGGGGCTGGCTTCACAAACGGGATCATCTCTCTGAGATCTGAGGGAAGAAGAGGCAGGACAGATCACACCCGACTGCTCAGGGCTCTTCTGGCCCCAGGGGACCAGGGCTGGTCACCCCCTCTGCATCCCTGATCCCTCAGCTTCTCCTGCCTGCACCCACAGCCTGGTGGGAGGGACAAGCCACACGCAGATCCTCCAGACACTCTGGGAACCAGGCTGCACTGGGAGAGACCGGGAAGGGAGGGAGCGCGGGCAGGGCATGGCAGCCAGGCGCTACCTGGAGGCATGAAGTCCTGGAGCCTCTCTGGGATGCGGATGCCCTCCTCCGTCTGGTAGTTCTCCAGGATGGCGCAGATGGTCCGGGTCGTGGCGCACATCGTGGCGTTGAGCATGTGCACAAACTCCACCTGCAGCGGGGGGACAGGGGCGGTGAGGCAGCCGCGGGGATGCGAGTGGGCAGGCCCTGGGGACCAGTGTGCCCAAAAGGGGTGTGAGACTCCTGTGTGGCTGCTCCCCAGGGCACCCGGCAGAGTTTCAGGGTCTGTTTGGCACCAGAATGTCACTGGGCACTCATATCTTTGTAAAAGCAGCCCTGGATTTGCCCAGAACTGTGGGAAATCCTCCCCTCAAACTTCTGCAGAGGTGAGAGGGAAAAGCCAAGGAACCCCACAATGCAGGATCTCGTCCCTCACCTTGTCCATCATCTTCTTGGTCTGCCCATAGCGGATGCGCAAGCGGCGGGCCTGGTAGTCTGTGCAGTTGGAGCAGGACACGAGCTCGCGGAAAGCCCCCGAACCGGGGAACCAAGCCTCCAGGTCCAGCTTCTTGCTGGCAGCATGGTTCAAGGAGCCTAGGGGACAGGAGGGCAGTGGTTAGCAGGGCATCTCTGAGGCTATCCTGAAGGCATCTGTTTGGTCTCATCTTCGATCTCAGAGGCTCAAAGCCTTCAGATGACTTCAGTGGTGCTCTGCTGGCGTTATGTGCTTGCTCCCTGAGAAATCGTGTTCCTGCTCTGCAGAGGGGAGGCTGGAAAAGGGCTTTTAAAGGACTGCTTTCCCTGAGAGAGTTCCCAGGCTCAGCTTAGAGGAGCTGTTCAAACTGCTCTCCCTTTCCAGAGAGACAGAGCAAGGACAGTCCTGGCACAGCAGGGCACCTGTAACCCCAGTGGTGCACGCCCCTCTCCGGTGGACCCAAAGCAACGCAGAGGCTCTCTGGAGAAAAGTAAACGTTTCTTTGCTTTCTCCAAACCCAGGGCTGCGGTGCCTCCTCCCCCTTGCCAGGCCTGGGGACAGACACCGTGGGAACGCGAGCCGGGGATGCTCTCGGACAAAGGAAGCCAAGCCGGGAAGTGGGTCACAGCCAGGGTGACACCCGAGGCGCTGGCAGTTGTGGCTGGTCTCCTCGTAGGCTGCTGCGGTGCCAATGCACAGAGACACGGGCCGGGTGCTGGTCACGCACCCCTGCACCGTGAAAAAGCCCCGACCCCAAAGGCCTTCCTAGTCTAAGCAGGCAGGAAGAGGGGAGCCCCGCGACGCTCTGCTCGGGGGCCCTGCCGACGGCGCGGCCGCAGAGGGAGCTGAGCCCCCTACCCGAGACGATGTTGACAATGTGGTAGGGGATGCCCAGGGATTGGTAGAAGTCCTCCGCCGTGGCAATCATCTCATCAAACATCTCCCACGACTTGTTGTCGTGTGGCGAGGCGTAGACGAACTGCTCGATCTGCAGAGAAAAGCCTCGTGTCTGCTCCGGCCTTAGGAAGCGGCTTAAATTCCCCAGAGGGCCCACGTGGACTCCCTGCTTCTGCCCCTCTCACCTTTTCAAACTGGTGCACGCGGAAGATGCCCCGGGTGTCCCGGCCGTGCGAGCCGACCTCCTGGCGGAAGCAGGTCGACAGCCCTGCGTACTTGATGGGCAGATCCTCCGGCTTCAGCCACTCGTCCCGGTGCAGGGCCGCGATGGGCTGCTCCGAGGTAGCAATGAGATACTTCTCGTCGACGGAGCTGTCGTCGGCCTTCTCGCTGCCCTTGCCGATCACCTGGGGGAGCGAGGAGGGAGCGTGGCGCCAGGGTGCCTGCGAGAGCGACTCTCCCCCATCCCCGGCTGTTCCCACACCTTTAAGGGCAAAGACCCTTATCCCTGGCGGATGCTAACGAGAAGCCAGCGCAGGCACCTGCTCTCCCTGCCCAGCGCTGCCTGCACGCAAACAGGCATGGAGGACTTCTGGGGCTGGCACTCAGAGGGGCAGGAGGAGGGAGAGGATGGCTCAGAAACGGGTTGCAGGAAGGGGAGCAGCTGCTGCTTGCTGCTTTTTTAGCCTCCTTAAGAGGCCCCGATGGCCTCCCGCCAGCTCCTGATGGCGAGGCTGAGGACAGAGCTGTCTCCCGTCAGGGCATCACCATGACAACCGGCCGCGTTAGCAACCTCCCAGCAGGGACCGCACGTCCTTTCATGGCAAAAAGATGGACCTCAGAGATAGGGAGCAGAAGGGAGGCAACACAGAGGCATCCCTGGGACACAGGGGATCTCAGTCGGCTTCCTCCCTGCAGTGCCTCCGCATCGCGTTCCCGGCGGGAGGCCGCATCGTGAAGGCTCGGTTTGAAAGCCCGTTCCCAGAGGGGACGGCTGGTGCGAGCCGTCGGGACGCAGAAACCCAGCGAGCGTTCAGTGCGCCTCCTCCTCGCTGCTCACCTTGTACAGCTCCTCGTCGAACTGGCTCAGCTGGGCCACCTCCTGCATCACCTCCTTCCGCATGAAGAAGGGGGTGTAGACGGGAGTGTAGCCCTTGGCGCGGAGGGTCTGCAGAGCGTACTGGATCAGGGCCTGCTCCAGGAACACCAGCGGACCCTGCGGGACAAGGGAAGCCACCACCGGTCACACACACCTCACTCCGCAGTCCCCACTCCTTCAGCAGGTCTGGGAACGCACCAAGGATAGCAGAGGGCTCTAGCCAAAACCCCCCAGGTTAACCCAGGCCTAGTGCAGCGCTGGCTCCCCCGCAGGCCGGTGCCGCTCCGGGCTGCAGATGGTCCTGCCTCCTGCGGCACCACCAGTTCAGCACTGTGAGCTGCTCTGGGCACGCCATCGCCCTCCGACTGTGGCACGACATTCGCGTGAGTCTGCAGGGTGCCTGGGCCAGCCATGCCAGCAGCCCCAGGCCGAGTCCGTCCCAAGCAGCGCGCTAGCCAGACACGAGCTCACGCCTCCGCAGAGGCTCCTGTCTCAGCAGCAAGTTCAGCCCAGGGGAGAAAAAGCCATAAACACTCTGTCTCCCAGGTCACGCTCCTCATTTTCCATGTCATGCCCAACTTTCCCTCTGGCTCCAACTGTTTCTTTCCCCTGCGCCCTGCAGAGCCAGCGTTCCGGGCTCTCACCTTAAGGAAGTAGCCCCGGCTTCCAGCGACGATGGCTCCCTTCTCTCCCTCATAACCGTCCACCATCACCACCAGGTCCACGTGGGAATACTTCTTCCTGCATGTGCAGTCCCCCCAGACCCGCTCTACCTTGTTGTCCGCGTCCTGCACAGAGAGAGGAGGGGGGGGAGCCTAACGTCTCCTCTTCCAGGGCTGCAACACCAACCTGCTCCCCTCTGTGTTCTACTGGACCCAGTTTGGGAGTGCCCCACACTACACCGAGGTGCCTGGCCTCTCTCTTTAACCTTTCCCAGCCGAGAGGAGCCTGTTCCCAGGCCTCCCTCAGCTCCCTCCCAGCACCAGCAGCCCCAGACCCAAGCGGGTGCCCCATGCTGGGCCAAGCTTTGCCGTCTGGGAGTGACCGAATCCAGGCCCCAAGAACCAGAGCCTGGAACCCCAATGTTGATCCCTGCTGGTCACGTATCATGTGGCCACTTGGCTGCCAGCCCAGCCCAATTGTGTTCCCCCAGCAAAACATTCCCGCTGGATGAATGAAGGCAGCAGAGGGAGATCCCAGCCTTTGGCTCAAAGCGAGTTTCCCATGTATTGCCTGAACAATGGCTACGCCCCACGTTGTCTGAGCTGCTCTTTGTGTGCTCCCAGCAGGAAACGCAGTCTTGTCATGCAGATTTCATTCACCGCCTGCCGGATCTTGGTGGGGACCTCCCTCCAGCGAGCCCCCCCCTC